GTCTTGTCCTTGGCCATGATAGGCGCCTTCCAGTCGCTGCGGGCATCCTGTGCTAGAATCGACGAAAGGATGTCGGCGAATTCCTCCGGTTCAGCAGTCTTGGTTCTGTTCTTTTTGAGCTCCTGTTTGCGCTTCTTGGCCATTGCCTCATAATCCGACTCTGCGTCGGTTGTGTCGCCGCCACTCATGCTCGATGCGTCTGACTCGTCCTCTTGCATCACTGCATCGTCGCTTTGCGAGTCCTTGTTGTCTTCTGGTACTTTTTGCGGTTTTTCAACTTTGGCTGTTAGCGTGCCCTTCTTTTTGAATGCGCCCTTTGCCTTTTTTGCTGTGTCCATTGTTTGCTGTTGTTTATAATTGAAGCCTTTATGACAATAAAATAATATCTCTACAGTACACTGAAAAAATTAGTAAAAAAAGGCATGATGGAAAAAAGAAGCAAATAAAAAATGGCATCAACTTTTTTTTTTGCATATACCTCTTGCTGATCACTGGAATTACAGGATCAAACCACGATTTTTCTTCTGCTGGTTCAAAAGAAAAAAGCCCACTTTTTTCAGCATTGTTTTGTTCTTTTGCTTGCTCTGTATTTATCGATTTTTTTTTTTTTTTTTGTAAACCAGCTAAATCCAACAAAATGATTATTCCGGTTCGTTGCTTTACTTGCGGAAAGGTCGTCGGCAACAAGTGGGAGAAATATCTCGAGCTCATTGAACAAGAATATTCCGATGGCGAGGCACTCGACGAACTGGGCCTGAAGCGCTATTGCTGCCGGCGTATGGTGCTTACTCACGTCGACCTTATTGAGAAGCTCTTGCAGTACAATCCTCAGGAAAGAAACTTGAACACTGTTGGAGCATAGAGGGGGGAAAAGTGTTTTTTATTTCAATTTTACTTTTGTCAAATATGTTTTTTATTAACAGAGCTCAAAACATTACAGCGGTTCCTCTTTTACGGCCATCGCTATTGCCACGCTTGTTTGATTCCTCTAATGTCTTTAAAAGCTCCTCTTCTTCCTGCTTCTTGTGTTCCCAGATCGTACCTTTAAGCAGGCGGTTGTCCGGATCGTGCCCGTATATCCTTTCCTGTAAATTGTCCATAAACACAAAGGTCTCGGCATCATACTCTTCTCGTTCCTGCCTCTTGCTCAGGTTGTAGTATGCAAGGAGCGCTAGAGCCGACCAGAGAGAGTAGTCGCGTAGAATTTGACGCACCATCCCCTGTGGCCATACAAAGTGCCGCCGCCAGTTATGGTACTCTCGCAGCTGTTTCTTCGCTGATTCTAGATACGTGTCTCCCTCATTCTGTGTTGAGTAGCCTCGTTTGGTCCAACCTGACGAAAGCCGCCGTATTGTCTTCGTGGTCCATTGGCCTCCTCCTCTTATTGTAAGTCTCCGTGTCAGCGAATTCATTGCGTATAAATCTGAGTAGGTTGTATCTAATTATATCGATGCTAATATGAAAAAGTCAAGGTGTTTTTAAATTTGAAAAGATACAGAGGAATCTCCCTCTCTTTTCTCTCCTGTTGAGCATATTTTTCTTGAAAACCGATGATGATCCATTTGCTTGATCGCGATCACTTTGGTGTTTGAAGAAGAACCAAGTTTTTAGCATCATGGTGACGTATTTAGTGTTATAAATGAGAGGGCTCCATGTGTATATTTTACCACGTGTCTTGCTTTAACCTTCTCTGCACCATGTGTCTTTTATTTTTGACGGGGAATGAGAAAGCCTCTCTTTCGATGGGCAAGACAAAGTCTTTTCCTTTTCTTTCCTTTTATTTTTCCTTTTCTTTGTTTACTTGTTTAAACATTTTCTGTCATTGTATTCCTTGTATATTATATTCATCTGATACTTTAACCATATACCCTTTTGCCCCTCATTTTGCCTCTGCTTTTTGTTTGTTTCTGCTGGACATTTGCTCCCAATGCCTGCATATCCATTTGACCAACAAGCATCACTACTATTACGAACAAACACAGTCGGGACGTCAGCCGCTGCTAGCACCGAAACCACTCCTCTAACAGGCGTTTCCAATGGCGAGAACCTGGATCATCTTCTGTTTCTAGGCAGCCAGGAGGAAGAGCTTGCGTCGGTCGAGGCGGCTGGGTATGGCTCCGCAGCAGCCAACACGCAGCCACCACCAGATGTAGCCGATGGATCTGGATCCTCTACATCGTCGGCATACGAAACAGCAAACGACCACAACCCAGTGACAGCGTTTTTTGAGATCCTGACGATCCGCCGCCTGCTTCTCGAGTACGTGGGGGTGGTGCTTTCGCCAGGCCAAATCCACTCACCCGACGTGCAACTCAACCTGATCGCGCCTCTATGGCAAGCCGTACGTGAGCGCTGTGGCGTCTGGAGGCCTGGCGATATGCGGCACCAGCGCAGCACCTATGCACAGTCGCTGGTCGACTCCGTTGACGGTGCGCTTCAGGCCATCGACACACAGTCATCTGTCAAAGATGATGCATGCCGAGCCTTGCGCAAGCGCGAGGCACGTGAGGACGGAACAAACCACGATGGCGGACCGCTGCCCAGCGCTGCGATGATGTATGCGGCGCTGGCCAACAGGGACTACTTTCTGGTTCTTGCGAGTGCTGGACAGTCGCAGGCTGAGCTGCATCAGAGCCGTGCGGAGGTTGCAGAATCGCTGGCTATTATCTGCGCCAAGGCACTGTCCAAGTTCGGCAAGCAGGTCCTTGTTGATGCGCTTTGCGTAAAGTACACGCCCATCGATGTTGATGCTCTGCGCGTTGGAATTGCCTTAATGCAGGAGCCCCCCAATCAGCAGCACAGCGCTGTGTCGCGCAGAAGGCATGCGTATTTGCAGGCACGAGAGGACGATGCCTTGGCTCTTTTGGCGATGATTTCGGGCGAGCGCCATATGTCGCTCCTTTCTGGGGACCAGCGTGTCCGCGTGTACCGTCTGGGAAAGGCAGGCGACATTTCGCTGGAGCACAGCGGAGCAGAGTCCCCCGCATTCACTCTGTCCACCGGAATGTCGTCGAGATGCAGCAGCGGCTACGCTACGCCTATCCGCGAAATCTCGCAAGAATATCTGTCAGGTGGGACGCGCATTCTTGTCGAACGTGCCCTTGAAGTTGCTATCCGCTCGGAAGCAAAGCGGTTCTGTGCGCAAAAACTTGTTGGCGAGGTCGTTCATTTGCTTTGGAACGGCACTGTGCACTGGAAAGGCTTCAGTTGCGTGTGTCTAAAGGAAAAGTGCGTCAGCGAATCCCTCGAGAGCAAATCCTCGTCGATACTCAGAATATCATTTGTGCACCGCGCTAACACGGCCGACGAAGAAGCGCTTGATCCAGAGGGCCTTCACCATTTGCCGCCTACACGGCCGCCATATGCCACGCGTGGGCAGCGCTGGAGACGCTCGCTCGATACATGGCTGGCACATACGCTGGAGCCCCTCCGCATCCCAATGTTCGAAAACATCTTGACCATGGTACACGCCTTCTTCTTCCTCTGGCTCTATACGCTTGTTTCGCTGGAGCGCCACGAGCAAGTGACGGTCCAAGAAGTGGTGCTTCACACGTGCGCCCTTGCATACATTGCCGACGAGATCCGCCAATGCCGTGAAAACGGGCTCTCTGTGTACTTGAAAAGCGTGTGGAATGTTCTCGATGTGTCCATATATGCGATATTCATTGCCTTCTTTGCGCTGCGCGTGCGCAGCCTGTATACCGGGTCGCAGGACGATCTTGACAAGGCGTACGATGTATTTGCGCTGAACGCATCGATGCTCTGGCCGCGCCTGTTCGCAGTCCTCGACCAGTTCGAGTTCTTTGGCACCATCATTATTCAAGTGCGCCGGATCATCGCAGGCACCAGCCTGTTCTTTGCGCTTCTCGTCGTCATGACCACCGGATTCTTCCAGACGTTCTTCTCGCTAAGCAAAAGGCACAACGACATGGAGGCCAGCAACATCTGCGCCCTGATGACAAAAATATTCTTTGGCTCTGCACTACTGGGCTGGGACCATGCAGATCTGTTCGGCCCCTACGTAGGCTACGTGGTCATGAGCATGTACATTGGCGTGTCGATGCTCATTCTGTATAACATTCTCATCGGTGTCATCAACCAGTGCATGGTCGAGATCCGCCAAAACTCTGCCCAAGAGTTCTGCTTCGCTTACACCATGCGCATCACCGAGTATGTCAGCGCTAAGCAAACGTACCCGTGCGTTCCACCGCTGAATCTATTGCAGCTATTGGTCTTTTGGCCACTACGCAAGACCACAAAAATATCGCCCCGCTCCTTTGCCCTCTTCCGCAGCATTGTTCTGCTTATCGCCTACATGCCACACCTAGTTCTGTACCGACTATTTAAGCGTCTGAATAGATGGTGGAAGGCGCGATCCGGTGTGCATCAACGCTCACTGCGCGCAGAGTGCGGTTTATCTGAAAAGGAACTGGCCATGATTAAAATACACAAAGCCGACATTGATGAATATGCGTTCTCCGATGCGATCGATGATGACAGCGATAATGCAGAGGACAGACAGACGGTATCTGCAAGTCAAAGCACTGCCTTCAATCGCCATTCCCCGACTTTCTCCAAGCAGCACCCTAACACAGGTCTATCACAACGAACCTTGGCCAAGTCGCCTACTTTAATTGCAAATGATAACGAGCCATCGTCGCGTTGGATGGCACTGATGGATACGTGGAAACGACACTGCAAACCCTACAATGCAGAGTCATCTAATGTTGTTCCTTCTAGTGCTGAAGGCAGATCTGTTTCTAATGCCGAACCAATGACGGAAAAAAGAATAGCTCATCTTGAAGCTAAAATGTCTGACATTGACAAAAAGCTGGACATTATTACACAACTGCTTCAGCCTATCACCAAAAAAGAGCAATAGTTCAAATTGAAGCCGTTTCCTTTTGTTAGACTCATTGCTAGCCTTATTCACCAAATAATTACAAAAGTAGTAAATTTTTGGACTGGAGCATAATTTTCATTAAAAAAAATAAGAAAAAAGGTCCTACCGAGATTCGAACTCGGGTTAGCGGAATCAGAATCCGCTGTGATAACCGGCTACACTATAGAACCTTCCTAAAGCAAGTCGGATTCTAACCCAAATTGCATGCTGGATTCCAGAAAGTTAAAATAAATACACAATACAATATATAATATCATATTTTTGAATTCACTCGTTTAGCTCAATATGTTACGAAAAACGCCTAGCATACTGTATTTCACAAGGTCTATCTGAATTCTCATCCGTTGTGACTAATAGAGTAGAACAAGTGGCTTGATTTTTAATGCACCTGCAGCTATGTCGCTTGAGTTGCTGATGATTACCTTGTGCTTTTTTTTAAAAAAAAAAGCTGATTGTCTTGTTTACTTGTAATTACAGTGTACATGTAAGGTTTTAGATGACATAAAAATACGACTTTTTGCTCAGTTTCGGTAGTATTTTGTATCCATATTTGACAGGATTAGTTCACACCGTTTGGGCATGTGCATATAGAATTGTGTCAGCAGCAACTTTTATTTGAATGGGAAAACAACCAGACATTCATATAAACATATTATCGAAACATCACTATATATTGTTCAAAACCTACAAAAAGTTTAACTGTGTTTTGTAAAAAATTACTTCATATGCAGAAGTTCAAGAAAAAGTATTTTATTTGGGTTGTTGTCTTTTTTATTTTGGACCCAAGGATATGGTTATAAAAATGTCATTAAAGCGGGTCAAAACCATTTGTATATAAAAAGGCCGTTGAGTACTTGCACATGCTAGCGCTGACCATCAAACTCGGCAGATATGTATGTTCCAACATCTATTTCACCTCGTAGTCTATCACAATGACCAGTATATGCATTTGCTACATGCTAAATCCCAGTGCATCCATTGTTGCACTCCAACTTTTCTCTGGGTTTAATACCTATACAGTCGCGATTACACTTTTTCCTTTGTATTGTACTTGTTGCTTACCGATGCTTCTATGCAGGACAACAAGGACGCTGATATCCGCCACCGGCAAATGCTGCCGTACTTTCAGCACCGCTATCTTTCCAA